GCTGGTGGTTCTTCTCTTTCAATATTTTGAATATTTCTTTCCAATCTCTCCTGTTTTGTAATGTTTCTGCTAAAAAATCTGATAATTATCTAATGGGTTCCTTTTATAGGTTATAGTCTTATTTCCCCCTGGCTGCCTTGAGAATTCTTCCTTTGTCATTAATTTTTGGCAGTTTGAATAAAATATGTCTCGGAGAAGGTCTTTCTGCATTGATATGATTAGATAGTCTTGTTAGCTTCCTCTGTTCTCCAGTTTAGTTTTTCTGTAGGCTCGGGTAGTTTTCATTAGTTATTTCTTTAAGTAGGCGGTCCGTTCCCTTCTGCCTTTCTTCTCCTGGTCTGCCTGTTTTCCTCGGGTTGCTCTTTCTAATGCGGTTCTCGTAGAGTCCTCGTAGAGCTTGCTTGCTCTCACGCGCATTCTTCCTCCCCAGTCCCCAACTCTTAGTTCTTACTCTTCTTCCTCTTGGGCCATTTCTTGGTTTCTGTCTTTGAGTTGGCTAATTTTCTCCTCCGTCTGGACTGCTCTGTTTCTAGTGGTCTCTAATGCATTCCTCGTTTCATTTATTGAGTTCTTCAGCTTCAGAATTTCTGTTTGGTTCTTTTTTATGATTTCAGTCTCTTTGGTTTAGTACTCCTTTTGTTCATTAACTTTATTTCTGAGTTCATTAATTTTATTCCTTGAGTTTCTTCATCAATGCAATCTTGAATTCTCTGTCATTTAAATCACAGCCTTCCCCAACTTTGAGTTTGGTTTCTGGTGACTTTTCATTTTCTTTCTGTGCTTCCAAGTTACCTTGGTTGTTCGTAGTATTGGATGAATTGTCCCTCTGACTGCACTTTTGAAGTAATGATTTCTTTTCTTATTTATATAGTTTTCCTCGCAAGGATTCAGTAGGTTAATGGGCAGTGCACTTTCTTTTGTCGTCCAGTAGATGGTGCCCTAGCGCAAGTTGAGGGAAATGCCATGTCCTCCCTGCAATGGTGGGTGTCCACTCTGTGACCAGCTTGCCTCAGTTCCGTGGCACCATCCCTGTGGTGGGGGAGTGTGGTGAGTGGTGGACAGCTGGATTTTCGAGAACCCAGATTGCCTCTCTTTTCCCCTCCGTGTTGGGTTTTTCCGCACTCTGCTGGTGCACGTGGGGCAGAGATCCACGTTTGTGATCCTGCAGCTCCTTCCCCTTCCAGTAATGGCGCTTGGCACCTCTGTTTTGTTTACAGCTTCTGGCCACATCTACTCAGTTCTGCCGTGCTGGGGATGGGTGTCAGGGAGAGGCCCTTCCTGGGAGGGAAACTGCTTGTGCCCCAGTTAGGCTCCAGGCCCTGGTGGGAGGGCTGCAGCCTGACTCCCTGCTGTAGTGCTCGCGGGAGCTGAGCAGAGCCCAGAACGGTCCGCAGCTCCTCCCAGCCCGGGTCCCTGCTCGTTCTGGTCGGCCTCCTTCAGATGTCCTGCCAAGTAGATCTTCAGGCGCGTTTGTGTGTGGAGCCCGGGATCCTTTGTCAAGTTATAATGGTCGGATTTATTGTAAATTTAAGGGGAGAAAGAAGGAGCCTTCTCACTTTGTCATGATGCTCACGACTCCACGTGTTATATTTTAGTCGTTTAATTACCTTATTCCACCTCTGCTATATATATATGATACTGATGAACAATCGTCTTTTCTTACTTGTCCTCTAGAAGGTCATCATTCTTGCCTTTCCTGACGACTTTGACTGTTTATCTCATTCTTCTTCTGGACTCTGCTTTGTTGGTTAGGTTTTAAAGGGTAAAGTTCCTTAGGATTCTGTCCTACATTTAGAGAACCAGGCATTGTCACTACTCAGACATTGCTCGTGGGGAGTCAATACTGGTTCCAGCCTTCTGGGGACAGTATATATTATATTATATTTATATAATATATTTAATATTTAATCGTATATAACATATATGTATTATATATTGTATAATATGCATTTAATAATATATATTAAAATTACTAATGTATATTCTCACTTCTGGTAATGTACCCTTTAGATATATTTACATATTTCATAATGATGTCTGTACAGGGTTATTCACATGAGTATTGTATGTAATAGCAAAAGATTTGGAGATTATTCACACTACTCTGAAAAGTTTATTAACATTTTTCTCTCTTTTTCTATTCATATTTGTATCTACATGAGGCTAGATTTTCTTCATATGTGTCAGCCAAAAAGCAGATTGCAACAGAGTGAGAAGAGCCCAAACATCCCTTCATAAATAGTGGATTGGTTAAGTAAATTATGATAGAGTAATACAGTAGAATATTATGCAGTTGAAAAAGAATAGAAAGATAGTATTTATATGGAAAATCATGGAAAAATCACTGCAATTAAAAAGGAAAAGAGGAAGGTGCAGAACATATTATATGTTACTTTTTGTGTAAAGGAGAGGGAATAAGATTATATAGTTGTATTCGCTTATATTGCTGTAAAGGAACTCTGGAAGGAAAAAGAAGAAACTAACACATTACCCCAAGGAGCAGCGTACAGACTGCACAGATGACAGTCAGGAGTGTGATGAGACTGTCGCATACCTCTTTAATCTATTTGATTTTTGGTACATGAAAATACTACCTGCTTAATTCAATTTTTAAAATGTCTTCTACTGTAACTTAAACCTAGTTTGCACACAGCATGAGTTCATACTTTGTAGTTAAAAACCACCGGCCTACAGCATAACTTTCCGTAACCTACTGTGTGTAAAGCCTTTTGTCTCCTTAGGTTCACACTTTGCCACTTCTAGCTTCATACTTTACAAGACTGAATTTCTTGGAGTTCTTCTCACCCACGGCCCTGTGTCATATTTGTGTATATTTTACCTATGTCTTCTTCATAGTCATCTGTTAGGAGTCAGTTTGTCATCTTCTCTGGGAAGCCGTCCTCTACGTCTATGGCTGAGTTAGGTGATTCTCTCATAATACATTGTGTATTTGTCTGTTATTGCTCTTGTCATATTGCATTGTAATGATCAGCTCCTTTATATTATCTACACATAGACATTCAAAGATTTGCTTTAGTTTTTTTTCTTTTTAAAGATTTGCTTTAATTTCTTTCTTTCTTTTTTTTTTTAAGTGTCTTTGCCTGTAGTGTAGGAGTCATCCCTCAGATAGCTTACAGTCTTTAATGGAAACAGACATGCAGAAATATAACTGACACAAAACAGAATGTAATAAGTGAGATAATGGGCAAGGTCACGGGCCCGATAATGCCCCCAGATGGAGACATTTTAACAGGGCCTGTTTAGGAGCAGCAAATAATGAGGTATAGCTTCAGCACAGAGGAATTATGGCTCAAGGTGAATAGGGAAGGAAAGGAAAAACAAGGACAGATTGTGAGAGGCCTTACATTCCAGTCTAAGAAATTTAAATGGTATCTTATAAGCAGACTTGGACTAGTGAATGTTTTGAACAAGGAATCAACCTGATGTGTTTTAGGATGATTACTTTTATGCTTTCTGTAGGGTGGTTTGGAAAAGGAAGAGATGAGGAACAGGGCACCTGTTAGGATATTTTATACTGTAAACTACAGTGTCAGGTGTGGGATCAAAAAAGGAATAGCCAGCGATACAGTTCATTCAACCTTCTGTTTATTTCAGTAAACATTTTATGGGTACCAAACCTTGAGGAGTTCATACTTTGACAGTCATATGTTTGTCTATAATAGATGATTAGATGTATGAGTTCCTTAAGGATTACCTTATTTCGATCTCTTGAATTTAGCACAGTTGGTGATCATATTAGGCACTCAATAATGTAGAGGCATCAGTGGAATAGTACTGGTTAAAAGCCAGGTTTAAATCCTGGCTCTACCATGGTTGCCTGAGTCCAGTGTAGTAAAGTTACTAAACCTATGTAAATCATAATTTTCTCATCTGTAAAATGCAGCATTAGTCATCTTGGGCTGCCATAAGAAAATACCATAGACTAGGCGGCTTGAACAACAGAAACTTATTTCTCACAGTTCTGGAGGCTGGGAAGTCTGAGATCACGGTTAGATTCTGGCGAGGACTCTCTCCCTGGCATGCAGACAGCACCGTCTCATTGTCTTTGCGGTGGGGAGAGACAGAATAAGCTCTCTGGTGTTTCGTCTTAAAAGGGCACTAATCACATCATGAGGGCTCCACCCTCGTGACCTCATCTAGACCCAGTTAACTCCCAAGGGCCCCATCTTCACATTCCATCACAGTGGGGCTTAGGGATTCACCGTATGAGTTTTGGGGGAGACACAAACATTTAGTCCATAGCACTGTTTTATATAGTGGTTATGAGAACTAAATAATTATGGACAGCATTTAGCACTGTGCCTCTAACATAAGAAGTCGTGTGTTTAACCTGTTATCATTATTATCATTTGGACTTGGCATTACATTTTGCATATGGGGTAATGGAGGAAAACGAGAAACGATTTGGTGATTTTGTTCTTTATTGTTGGAGAATATGTGATAACAATGAAGAAGAGAAGTGTAGGAAAAAAGAGCAGGATCGTGGGCCGCTGTGGGAGAGGCTTCCTTCCTCCCGTTAAGAGAGATGGGGAGATGATGCGAGTGTCAGGCTTATAGGCGTAGCCTGAGTCTGTGAGAGCGGAAGGAAAGAGAACCTTGAACGTTCTTTATTTGCATGTGGGTTTCAAATGCAGTTCTTAATGTGTTTTTATTCAAGTCTTTATTTTCTTTTCATTGATCAGGTTGGGTTTTTTATGAGCCTGGGAGAGCAGAAGTGCCATTTAGATCTTTATCCACAAATAATACTAAATTTACTTTGCTGGATTTTGAAAAGTTTCATTTCAGACATTTTGAGTCTTAGAGATATTTAGAGATTTTTAAATTGAAGTGTTATCTATTGCTATCCTCCAGCTTTTAGATTTAGGCTTTCCTCTCAAGTAAATGAATCAAGGACTTAATTTTATTAGCCTTTCTAGAACTATTAAGAATCTCTAACTCTTTTACTTTGGGCAATAATCGTCTCCACATTTACTTTATAGAGTCTTCTTTGGTGGAGCCCACAGGCCGCGAGGAAGCGCAGGATTCATAAGATGGCGGGCGGGTGAGTCACTGAGAATTTGGGCTGGAACTTGGGGAAAAAAGTGGTAGTGGTTACTCCTTAATAATAGGAATAAGATTTGAACTATAAATTTGGACAGGACATTGTCTTGGTGAAGTCTCTAAAGACAACATAATGGTTTTGAGTTTTTTTAATGTGAATTTTATTAATTTATATTGCATAGCTATGGAGCCATTTATACTATGATTTTATCAAAATTCACACAGTGACTCGGCACACAGTGGAAGGTTTGGAGTTTGGGGCCAAAACAGAGCAGACAGTTTGTCCCAGAGTGTATCTTTTCTTTGGCGATAGTGGTCAGATACATCATTAAATTGTGGTTTGGGGCTTTTCTTTTTCGTTTTAATAACAGAATTCTAATAAACACTATTTTACTTGTGATAAGAAGACAAGTATGCTTCTGGAACCACTGAAATCAAACTTGAGAGAAAGAAAATTAGAAAACTTATGGGGAGATAGTCTAATGAATATTAACATAAAATGATCAGGTGACATTTTCACTCCAAAGAAAAGTTATCTCTGCCCAAGATCAACTTTTTTATAATTTTATGAACTCAAAGCTGTGATTTTAGACAGTAAAATCATTATATCAGCCATGATATAAATGAAGGGGAAAAGGCAGTAGCAAATTGAAATCATGAAAACAGTGGAGCCACATAAAAAGAGAAAAGCATGGGGCCTGCATCTGTGGCCCGTGTGTATCTTTCTCAATGTAAAAATAACCGTAAATCGACATACTGGTTTGCTGATGAACTTACTAATTTTCTATGAGTACGTGTGGTAGTATACGTTAGATGAGACTGATTGGAAGTATCATCATGAAGCAGAGAAAGTTTGTCCCTAGGTCCTGTTTACTGATCTTTTTCTTGTTCCGTCAGCCTTCTCATTCAGTGGTCACCCTGCAGAGGCCTTTCCCTGTCTTTTCACTGCCAGATGAGTCCCCGTTACTTTTGGACGGTGACAGGTTATCTCTGAAAGATCAGTAGACACACTAATGGCAGATTATTTGACATTTAATTTGGGCTTTTGAAAATCCAAACAATTTCCTTATGGTAAAACTTCAGATACTGACGTCTGTCAGGGTGCGGGGGGGATATTTTTAGAGAAGAGAGTGTTTTGACTCCACTCCTTCAGTCACGACCTGTTGCCGGGTAGGAAGGGCATTGCCGCCGCTGCAGGCCTGTCACATGCTAGCGTCTGGCATCCGTGCCAGGCCCTTGATCCACACGGCGCCGTTTGATCTCATCGTGAGCTGTGAGATCAGCGTTCTCATTCACGTTTTACCAAAAGGGAACTGAAACAGGCACAGAGAGATGAGGTGACCTTCCCAAAGAGGTCACAGTGGAGGCACATATTAAAACCAGGACTTTGACTCCAAAGCTTTTCCCTTTACCCCCAGACCAGCATTTCACAGTTGTTTTACTTCGTTTTGCCCGTACTTCCTTTTGGAGAACACGCAATATCTCGCTCCCAAGAACTCCACACATGCTCTGTAGAGATGGTCCCCCAGCCCTCTTTCCGGTCACCACACTAGGCTCTGCTGCTTGTGGTCAGTCAGTCTCACCGGAACCTTTTGTTGTGTTTTTGCCTTATTGGCAGAGCTGACTGACAACTACAGCGTTCATCTCTAAACATATTGAGTTAGGGTTTGTTTTTTAAGCCGATTGGCCAGCTCTGCAGTTTGTACTTAGAGTAAGGTAGCATTGATGAGTTATGTGGGAACTATAATGTTTGGGAATTACCCCAGCAAGAATTAAGTTTCTTGTTGTTGACACTTGAACAGATGTATTTAGTATTACAAACACTTTGAAAATGTTCATTTAGCAAAGAGTTATGAAGTGCTTACTACGTGCCGGGGCTGTGCTAGATTTTATACTAAGTAGGAGGTTTCTACCCTCCATGAGATGATAATTTAGAAGGGAGACAAACGTGAGGTGGCTTTGAAAATGCACTGCAGTAATGACAGGAATGGAGGTGTGTAGAGGAAAAGGGGGGGCACTGAGAAAGGAACAGTTAACTGCTTGGGGGACTCAGAGAAAGATTCAGAGAAGTAGCTTAAACTGAAGCTTGAGCGTATTCGTGATTATAAGAAAATTCATGGTGTGCTTACACACACCGCGCACACAGCGTTTGCACAGACAGCACTTCCCTCACGTGTAAATGCAGTGTTAAGCTCGAACACTCAGCCTCTTCTCTTTCCCCCTAAATCATACGTAATTACGTATATTATCCCCTGGTAGCTTTTAGAAGGCTTCTCATGCAGCCGCTCATTTATTTCCTTTTATTTTTCTGTTCGCCAGCTCTTAAATTTCTCTGGTTTTTGGAAGCGCGTGGACTGATTTCTGGGCGGTCCGGGGAAGTCAGCCTTGCGTCGATCGCTCTGTTTTGCATTCTTTACAGCGTGTGGTAGAGAGTGAGGGGTCACAGTGGTGGCGGAGATGATGGCAAGAGGAGAGGAATGGAACTCGGTAGCTGACTGCTTTATCATTTTTCCTGTCTCACGGATGGGTCTCTTCTGTTGAGAATAATTTAAGGACTGAAAGTGTGACTTGCTGTATTCTTGGGCTGAAAATGAAGTTAGAGGATGGTCGTCTGGGGGAAAACACTGTATTCAGTGGTATATTATTTTCTGGCCATTGTGATTATAAGGCTTTGCGTTCCCCTATGATTAAGTTTTCATGTACATGTTTATCTCTGTCTCTCATGTGTGGTTCTCACAGGCACACTGGCAGATGTTACAGCAATTCAGCTCACTCGAGAAGCTACATGATTGCACAGACAGAGCCCTGCCTCAGAAGTTAGGAGAGCTGGTCCTACCTCTGCCTCTGGTCCTACCTCTGCCTCTAATTAACTGTTCTCTGCCTTTGTACTAGTCATTTAATCTGTTAGGTCTCAGTTACTTACACTTTAAATAATGGGATAGGGTAATGCTCTCTGAGGTGTTGCTCACCTCAAAACTTCTATCATTTTAATATTGACAGGGTATTTATTCAACTGCCACATTTTTACCGAGTGCTTCCCACATTTCAGGCCCTGTGCTAGATGCAGTCAAAAAGAGACGTGGAGGATAGACATGTAGATCAATGGAAGAGACTCTAGAATCCAGAAATAAACCCATACATCTCTGGTCAATTGATTTTTGATGGAGATGGCCAGACCATTCAATGGGAAAGAATAGTCTTCAACAAATGATTCTGAGACAAGTGGATTTCTGCACGCAAGAGAGTGAACTTGGACCCCTACTTCACACTCTATAAAAGAATAAAATGACTCAGAGAATATAAATGTAAGAGCTAACACTATGAACACTTAGAAGAAAATGGGTGAATCTTTGTGACCTTGGGTTGGACAGGGCTCTTTAGACCTCAAAAGCACAAGCAGCCAGTGAAAAATTGATAAAGTAGACTTCATCCAAATTAAGATTTTTATGTGTCGAAGAACACCATTAAGAAAGTGAGATGATCCATAGAACAGAAGAATATATTTGCAAGTCATATATTTAATAAAGATCTAGTATCCAGAACATATTCAGAGTTTTTGTAACTCAACAATAAAAAGACAACCCAGATAAAAAAAAATGGTCAGAGGATCTGAATTGATATTTCTCCAAAGAAGATACACAAATGACCTATTATACATGAAAAGATGCTCAACATCATTAACCAGCTGAGAAATGCAAATCAAAACCACGTGAGATAACCACTTCACACTCATTAAGATGGCTGTAATCAAAAAGACATAATAAAGAGTGTTGGTGAGGATATGAAGACTTTGCAATCCACATACACTGCTGGTGGGATTGTAAGATGATGCAGCTGCTTTGGAAAAGAGTTTGCCAAAACTGAAATGCAGCTACCATACGACCCAGCAGTTCCATACCTAGATACATGCCCGAGAGAGCTAGAGTCATACATTTATACAAAACTTACAGATGAACGTTCAGAACAGCATTAGTTCTAATAACCCCAAAGAGGAAATATCCTAAATATTCAGTGATTTAACATGAATAAACAAAATGCGATATAATCCATACATGAATATTGTTCAGCCAGAGAGCAATGAAGTACAGATACAAGCTATGACGTGAATGAATCTTGAAAACCTTATACTGAGTGAAAAAGGCACCAAAGGCCACATACTGTATGAATCCATTTATATGAAATGTGCAGGATAAGCAAATCCGTAGAGATGCAAAGCAGTTTCCTGGTTGCTGGGGGCTGGGAGAAGGGAATGAGGTGTGAAGACTGATGGGTTCAGGGTTTCTTTTTGGGGTGGTGGAAAGGTCTGGAAGTAAATAGTGGCGATGGTTGCGCAATCTTGTAAATATACTAAAACCCCAAAACTATACTTTAAAGTGGTGATTTTTATGATATGCAAATTATGAAACAATTTTTTAAAGCCATGGTGCTAAAATAAACTGCTTACATTGATGGGGATAGAAAAGGGTTCCTTGGGAGGCGACAGTACAGCGTTTTGTCCTACTGTGTGTGGAGTTGGGGTCAGAGCGCTGGAATGAGTAATATTGAGACAGAGACCTGAATGTCGAGTTGAAGTTATTCAGGGGAAAAGAGGAAAGGAAACAGGGAAGAGTATATCAGCATTAGCAGCTTAAAGCCAATTTTAACTGTAACAGGTATGAGCTCCTACCTCTGTCACAGCGTAAGATTGTCAAAGACCTTTCTGCCTTAAGTAATTTGATTATCCTATAATGTGTATTATGAAAAACATAATATCTCAGTTTCTTCTGGGGAAAACAAAGTACTTATTTTTCATGATTTGATTCTAAATATTTTAAAATTTTAGTCTGTGGCATTTTATAATTTTAAATTTTCATGAGACCAGAGCTAGATTCTAGAAGTTCTTTGTGCTTTTTATGGAATTTAGAAATAAAGAGGAAGAAAAGCTTAAATCTCCTTGAGGAGGTCAAAGAAAGCTCCCTAGAGGACATCTGATACCCTTAAGGTGTTTTTCAACTCTAAAAT